ATATGAAAAGCAACATCTTGAGTTTAGGGCAACTCTTGGAGAAAGGATATGATATTCACTTGAAAGAAAATACTCTTTTCTTAAAAGACAATATTGGTAACTTGATTGCTACGGTGCCAATGTCTAAAAATAGAATGTTTTCACTCAACATTCAAAATGATATTGCCAAATGTCTGAAGACCTGTTATAAAGATGCTTCTTGGCTCTGGCATCTTCGATTTGGGCATCTCAACTTTGGAGGACTCGATTTGCTTTCAAAGAAAGAGATGGTGAGAGGACTACCTTGCATCAACCACCCTGATCAATTATGTGAAGGATGTTTACTCGGAAAGCACTTTAGGAAAAGTTTTCTAAGGGAGTCAAGTTCAAGAGCCCAAAAGCCTCTTGAGCTCATACATACAGATGTCTGTGGTCCAATAAAGCCAAACTCACTCGGTAAGAGCAACTATTTTTTTCTCTTCATAGATGATTTTTCACGAAAAACATGGGTGTATTTCTTAAAACAAAAATCAGAGATTTTTGGAATATTCAAGAAGTTTAAGGCAGATGCAGAGAAAGAAAGTGGTCTCAAGATCAAAACTATGCGATCTGATCGAGGAGGAGAATTCACTTCAAAAGAATTTCAAGAATTTTGTGAATCCAACAAAATACGTCGACTTCTAACTGTTCCAAGGTCCCCCCAACAAAATGGAGTAGCAGAAATGAAGAATGAAACCATCCTCAACATGACAAGGAGCATGTTAAAAAGCAAGAGATTGCCGAAGAAGTTTTGGGCAGAAGCGGTTGCATGTGTTGTTTATTTGGCTAACCGATCACCAACAAGAAGTGTGTTGGGAAAGAAACCACAAGAAACATGGAGTGGAAGGAAGCCCGACATCTCTCATCTACGAGTTTTTGGATGCATAACTCATGTACACATACCCGACGAGAAAAGAACTAAGCTAGATGACAAGAGCGAGAAGTTCATTTTCATTGGTTACGACAACAACTTGAAATGCTACAAATTATGCAATCCAAATACAGGGAAAACAACCATCAACAGAGATGTCATATTCGATGAAGGAGGAGAATGAGACTGGGGACTACATGTTGAGGACTACAACTTTTTCCCATACTTTCAAGAAGAAGACACCCAGCAGCCAAAGATTGTGCGAGCAAGAGAAGAGCCTACGATCGAGCAAGCAAGAGAAGAGCCTACTACTCCACAAACAACATTGACTACAAGTAATCAAAGCAACTCATCGTCATCAACCTCAAGAGAAAATTGAAGTGAAAGAGTACCACGCTTCAGAAGATTAGAAGATCTTTATGAGGTAACTATGAATCAAGATCTTACTCTTTTTTGTCTCTTTGTCGACTGTGAACCCATGGACTTCCAAGAGGCCATATAAAGCAAGAAGTGAAAAGATGGAATGGATGAAGAAATCAAGGCAATCGATAAGAACGACACATGAGAGCTAGCTTCACTTCCTAAAGGGTATAAGACAATTGATGTAAAGTGGGTGTACAAAGCGAAGAAGAATTCCAAAGGCGATGTTGAAAGATACAAGGCAAGATTGGTGGCAAAAGGCTATAGTCAAAGAGCAGGCATCGACTATGATGAGATATTTGCCCCTGTTGCTCGATTAGAAACTATTAGACTAATCATCTATTTGGCAGCTCAAAATAAGTGATTAATACATCAAGTGGATGTAAAATCTACCTTCTTCAATGGAATACTTGAAGAAAAAGTCTACATTTAGCAACCACGAGGATATGAAGTCAAAGGATAAGAAAATAAGGTTTTAAAGCTAAAAAAAACTCTCTACGAGCTGAAGCAAGCACCAAGAGCATGAAATAGCCGAATAGACAAATATCTATAAGAGAAGGACTTCATCAAGTGTCCTTATAAGCATGCTCTTTACATCAAGAATGAGGAAACAATCCAAGCATGTTTGAAAAGTTCAAAGAAGCGATGACAAAGAAGTTCGAAATGATAGATATTGGGCTCATGACATTCTACCTTGACATTGAAGTCAAGCAAACAGAAGATGGGATCTTCATCTCTCGAGAAGGTTATGCAAGGGAGATATTGAAGAAATTCAAGATGGAGAATAACCAACCTATAAAAACCCCTTTAGAATGTGGAGTCAAGCTATCACAGTTTGATGAGGGAAAAAGAATTGATCCAACGTTTTTCAAGAGTTTGGTTGGAAGCTTGCGCTACTTAACATGCACAAGACCTGATATTTTTTATGCTGTTGGATTTGTCAGTCGTTACATGAAGACTCCGACTGTTACCCATCTGAAAACCACTAAAAGAATTATGCGCTATATCAAAGGTACAATTGATTTTGGCTTATTTTACTCATCATCCAACTATTTCAAGCTTGTAGGATATAGCGACAGTCATTGGGCTGGAGACATGGATGATAGAAAGAACACTACAGGGTTCGCGTTCTTCATAGGAGACACTGCTTTCACTTGGATGTCAAAGAAATAACCAATTGTCACTCTTTCTACTTGAGAAGCAGAGTACGTGGCTGCAACCTCATGTGTTTGTCATGCAATTTGGCTTCAAAACCTATTAAAGGAGTTAAGTTTACCGCTAGAAGAGGCGATTAAGATTTTTATCGATAACAAGTCTGCAATCACACTAGCAAAGAATCCTGTTTTCCACGATAGAAGCAAGCACATTGATATGCGTTATCACTACATCAGAGAATGCATCGAAAGAAAGGAGATACAAGTGCAGTACGTGAAGTCTCAAGACCAAGTTGTAGAAATTTTTACCAAGTAACTCAAGAGTGAAGACTTTATTAAAATGAGAAGTTTGCTTGAAGTCACAAAATCAAGTTTAAGAGGGGGTGTTGAAATATAAACTTGGTTTTATTTGTTTAAATAAAACTTAATTTCTAGAAGTTTTTTCTAGAATATGTGGTAGGTATGAAATTATTGTGTAGTAGGTGTGGTAGGTGTGGTAGGTGTTGAATTATTGTGTGGTAGGTGTGGAATTATTTGTAACCATTGGATTGAAATTGTGGTGACACAATCCTAGCCATTAATTTAGAAGGTGTCACTAGTATAAATAGATGTGGAGTCTTTGAGTTTGTATCAAGCTAAGTTAAGGTGATAAATAAGAGTGAAGCTTCTTCCATAAATTTTTTAGTCTTTGTCAAATCCTAAAAGCTTCTCCATTCCAACATATTTTTTATGTGAAATTAAAGATTTGAGTGATATGTGTGTACATATGAAAGTTAAGGAGTGAGATAAGTAAATAAATAAGAATTGTATGCTATGTATGTAAATGCCCCAATAACTAATTGATCATAGTCATTAATTCAAAGTATTGTTTTTATATAGGTGAGATGATTGTTGGGCCAGCACAAGCATTACTCATGGATGAAATATCAAATGGTTTAGACAGCTCCACAACTTACCAGATAGTAAAATCACTCAGACAAATCACTCATATTCTAGGTGGGACGACCTTTATCTCTCTACTCCAACCAGCACCTGAGACCTATGAGCTCTTTGATGATATCATCCTCTTATCAGATGGGTTAATTGTGTATCAAGGTCCTAGAAAATATGTGCTTGAATTCTTCCAGTTGATGGGTTTCAATTGTCCTGAGAGGAAGGGTGTTGCTGATTTTCTACAAGAAGTAAGTTTCATGAATGATTTTTATTGTGGAAACTTCAACATATTACATATAGAACACTTAAAAGCTTAATATTTGCACTTAAAACACCTCAATATCATAAACCTATGCATGAAAATGTATATTCCACTTTTAAAAAGATATTGATGGCGGTATTTTTCATGTGATGTTAAAGATTTAAGTGCTAAGCATGTAAATATGAATGTTTTGGTGTTAGATATGTAAATACATAAGAATTGTGTGGTATGTAAATGCCCCAATCCTTTATGCAATCTTAAAATACCATATATGATGTAGAAGCTAATTATATGTAATACTTATAACAGGTGACATCAAAGAAAGATCAACAACAATATTGGATACATCATGATAAACCATACAAATTTGTATCGGTCGTCGAATTTGCAGAAGCATTTCAATCATTCCATGTAGGAAGAGAGCTCACAAAAGACCTATCTGTTCCGTTTGATAAGAGCAAGAGCCATCCGGCAGCTCTAACCACTTCAAAATATGGTGTAAGTCAAATGGAATTACTAAAAGCTTGTGCAGAGAGAGAAGTGCTACTGCTGAAGCGAAATTCTTTTGTTTATGCATTTCGATCAGCTAAGGTATGTGTGAAAATATGTTAATTAGTATTTAATAGATATTCATACTGAGAAAATTTGATCCATCAGATTCTTAAATTTCTTGGCCTGTAGGTGTTGGTCATGACATTGATAATGATGACCGTCTTTCTGAGGAATAAAATGCACCACCGATCAATAAACGATGGAATTATTTTTATGGGAGCTCTTTTCTTTTTAATTGTTAATATAATGTTTAATGGATTCTCCGAGCTCTCGATGACGATTGCTAAGCTGCCTGTCTTCTTCAAGCAAAGAGATTCTCTATTTTATCCTTCATGGACTTATGCGATACCAACATGGATTGTGAAGATTCCATTTTCAGTTGTAGAAGTTGCCATCTTGGTGATGATAAGTTACTATGTAGTTGGCTGTGATCCAAATGTTGGAAGGTTAGATTTGCATATACCTCCAAGCTTTAATTATGTGGTTGAATAAAAGAATACAACCCAAAGGGGTTCGTGAAGCTGAGAATTAAGAACATTATAATATTTCTGAAGAGTTGAATTTTTAATTTTGTATTTCAATAACTTTATCAAATTATAATTTACTATTACAAATATAAGAAATGAAACAATTTTTTCTTCATTTTATTGCAATTCTCAAAGTGTGTTCTTCTTTTTAGGTTCCTCAAACAATTTGTTGTAATTCTTCTAGTTCATCAGATGGCCGCAGGGTTATTTCGTTTTGTTGGTTCAATTGGGAGGAACATGTTTATGGCTGCTGCATTATCGTTCTACATATTATTCATTTTTCTTGTTTTGGGTGGATTCATTATTGCACATGGTTGTCTCTCTAAACTTAGTTTACTTTTAGTTGTATTGCAACATAAATTTAACAAATTTGTCTTCTCTTTGGCAGGTGATATTAAGAAATTTTGGATTTGGGGTTATTGGATGTCACCAATAATGTACTCCTATACAGCAATTTCAGTAAATGAATTCCTTGGAAACAGTTGGAGTCATGTAATGTAGTATTTTCATTGATGATAAAATCAAAATATTTTTATGTTGTCTGTAGAAAAGGATTTCATATTCACTATGGGTGCTTTTTTTGCTTACAGAAATTACCTGGATCAAATCAAACACTCGGAGTCGCTATCTTGAAGTCACGAGATATGTTTACTGAAGCAAAATGGTACTGGATTGGTGTAGTTGCTTTACTTGGATACGTATTTGTATTCAACTTTCTTTTTGCAGTATCTCTAACCTATCTCAAACGTAAGGCTTCTTATGCTTACACTAGTCCTTATTTTAGCATGGAAATTTATATTTCATAAATTAATTTTTTTTTATTTGCAATTTTTTAGCAATTAAAAAAGGCCAACCAGCACTATCTGAGGAGGCCTTGAAGAAAAGACAAATTATTGCAACAAACAGGCTTCAGCATTCATCATTTGAAGGAGAAAACTGTAATCGTCAAACTAGTGCCAGAGGTAAGTTTATTACTTCATTCAATTTGTATATTAACTTATCTTGCAAATTACTAAAGATAATAACTCAATATGTGCAGATAAATCTATGAGGATCTCACCACATGATTCTAATCCTACTGAGTTGAATACAAGGAAACAAATGGCACTTCCATTTGTACCACTTTCTCTCACTTTTGACAACATAAAATATTCAGTAGACATGCCACAAGTACTTATATTTATTTTTGAATGATAATTTTACACACAGCAGACTTTCAAAATTTTTCAAGAGTAATAATTCTAAAATGAAAGTTGCTTTCAGGAAATGAAAGGAACAGGGGTTGCGGACAAGTTGATGCTTCTAAAGGGTGTGAGTGGGTGCTTCAGACCAGGAGTTCTTACAGCACTAATGGGTGTTAGTGGAGCAGGAAAGACAACTCTTATGGATGTACTTGCAGGAAGGAAAACTGGAGGATATATAGAGGGAGGTATTACCATATCTGGATATCCCAAGAAGCAAGAAACTTTCGCTCGTGTGTCAGGATATTGTGAACAAAATGATATCCACTCCCCACATGTGACAGTTTATGAATCTCTTGTTTACTCTGCATGGCTTCGACTTCCTTCTGAAGTTGATTCTAAAACAAGAGAAGTAGGTTAAGTACATATGAATTCACAGTACACATTATTGATGACCCATGATGCTAAAATTACATAATAATAAAAATGTGTTTTACAGATGTTCATTGAAGAGGTTATGGAGCTTGTAGAGATGGCATCTTTAAGGAATGCACTAGTTGGATTGCCTGGTGCAAATGGTTTGTCGACTGAGCAACGCAAGCGACTAACCATTGCTGTTGAGCTTATCGCTAATCCTTCCATTATTTTCATGGATGAGCCTACCTCTGGACTTGATGCCAGGGCAGCTGCAATTGTAATGAGAACTGTAAGAAACACTGTTGATACCGGCAGGACAGTTGTGTGCACGATTCACCAACCTAGCATTGATATTTTTGAAGCTTTTGATGAGGTGAGAAATTTTTATATGAATGCATATTCATATAACATATATACTTTATCATCTTTTGATGCATTCATGTATAATTACTTTGAATTGCAGCTATTTTTGATGAAAAGAGGAGGCGAAGAGATATATGTGGGACCATTAGGACATAACTCTTTTCATCTCATAAATTATTTTGAGGTATCTCGCCAAATATATATATATATATAATATTAAATTGAAATAAAGACAAAAAGATGATGTTATTGACAACAAATTCTATTTATGATGGTTATGAATTTAGGGGATCCAAGGGGTAAGTAAGATTAAAGATGGTCATAATCCTGCAACATGGATGTTAGAAGTCACCACCCCAGCTCAAGAAAGTCTACTCGGTATTAACTTTAGTGAAGTATACAAGAAGTCTGAATTATGTCAGTAAGTGAATTATTAAATTATCACAAGGTTCCTCAACTGCATTCAAAATTTTGCCTATTCGGATAATGACACTAAACTCAAAAATGCACCGCAGGAGAAATAAAGCATTAATCGTCGAAAATAGTAGACCATCTCCTGGCTCACAAGATCTCTCCTTTCCAACTCAATATTCTCAGCCTTTCTTGACACAATGCTTAGCATGCTTATGGAAACAACACTTGTCATATTGGAGGAACACTTCATACACTGTGATGAGGTTTGTCTTCACCATGATGATAGCAGCGATGCTTGGGACAATTTTTTGGAACCTTGGGGGTAAAAAGTATGTTATCATTCATGCTAATATTATTTGTAAAGTTCCTCTTTTGCAAATATTGATTAATGAGTAAAACATATTTCTGCAGAAAGAAACAACAAGACTTGTTCAATGCATTGGGTTCAATGTATAGTGCTGTTTTATTCATTGGAATATCATACTCGAATGGAGTGCAACCTGTTGTCGCAATCGAACGTACTGTTTTTTATAGAGAGAGAGCAGCAGGAAAGTACTCAGCTATCAGCTTAACTCCCAATCTGAACATAGCTTCAATAATAGTTGCTGCATTTTATAGTATTTGGAACCTTTTTGGTGGATTTGTCATCCCGAGACCGGTGAGTTTGAACTTCTTCGATCTCCTTTATCAATACTTTTTAAGAGTAAAGTGTCAAAATAGCCGCCTAATTATTTACATGGTGTCATTTTAGTCCCAAAGTCTATAAAAGTGATAAATTGTCTCCAGGCTCCTCAAATTGGGTTTGAAATAATCCTCCATGGGACAATTTCAGCTCATATTAAGAGAGAATGTGAGGCTAAATTTGCACTTTGATAAATTTTGGAACAAAAATGACCCCCTTGTAAAGAGTCAGAGGACTAAAAATTAACACTTTTCTCAATATCTTAATCCTAAGAGCCTATAAATTTGTATAATTTAATGTCTCTATATTCTCATGCAGGCAATGCCTGTTTGGTGGAGGTGGTACTACTGGGCTTGTCCGGTTTCATGGTCCTTATATGGATTACTTGTTTCTCAGTATGGAGATGTGAATGAAATGCTTGAAATAGATCAAACAGTAGAGGAGTTCTTAAGGTGCTACTTTGGGTTCAAGCATGATTTCTTGGGAGTGGTTGCAGTCATGGTTGTCTTGTTTGCAGCTTTCTTTGCTTTTCTATTTGGGTTTGCAATTAAAGTGCTTAACTTCCAAAGAAGATAATTGAGTGTTTAAGGAAAAAGAAGAGATTAATGAACTATTCTTGAATGGTTCCTTCTTGCAAATCTCCTTTTCTTCAGCACATTTGTATCCTTGTTGATAAATAAAATTACAATATGATGTTTGAATGAAAGTAAAGACAAATAATACTAGTTTGAATTTCTCAAGTAGTTGTTAACACTCGAATAAATTCATATGGGTCTCATTACTTCATGTTTGGATTGTTTTTGTAAATCATGAGAGTGGAAAATCAAAAATCATCTTAGCTTTGAAAATATAATCGTTGAACTTTATTAAATCTTAATAAACTATTTGTGTATTTGCTTTAGGATTTAAGATTTATTAAAAGAAGAAATTCCTAAATCTATTAAACACAATAAATGTTCTTAATTGATGAATCTTGGATTTATTCAATAAAAGAGCTAGAATAACAAACATATTTTCATCTCATATTTATTCAAATAAAAATTTAGCTGCCGTATTTGTCCAAAGGTTCTCATTCTAAGGCATATAAAGTCAAATTTCTTTTCACAAGATGTTTCCAATCAAAAATATTTTTGAATATATTCCCCGATCAAAAACTTTTTAATTTTCAAGGATCATTTGAATGAGAATTTCTCCAAATAGAATCATGATCCAAATGAGGAAAACAAGCTGTGCATCCATTAATTTAACATAACATGATCAAACAAAGGTCTGTTTGTTCTAGGCTTGTTTAAAAGATGAGCCCAACATGCCCGAATTAAATGCAAGCTTCTTGACGAGTCAAACAAAAATTGCCATCGAAAAACAATTTTTTTTTTACAGCCCTAATCATAAGTAAGACGTGCAGGAAACTTCAATGAGAATGATGGTGGTTTTGGATTTGATTCCTTAAGAAATTTGATCTCTATTCAAATATCAAAGAGCTATATTTGCTAAATTCTCAAAGCTCCCCTACCTTGCTTGGTGATAGTCTGTAAAACCTT